TGAAACAGCCACGGTCGCATTCGCAGCCGAAGCAGCAAAAGAAGGAGAAAAATTCGGCGCCCACCGCCGCCACCGCTGCAAAAAAGCAGAAGCAGAAGCGCAAGAAGGGACAGCCCACAAAGTCGCTGGACCGCTCACAGGAGAAGCGGCAAAAGATGGAGGTGAACTGAGTCGTGGTGGGCAGTTGGAACAATTTGTACATTTTCCATCCAGATCATAACTGGCAGCGTAATTGACCAACTTTTTGACTTTTTTCCGTTTTTGTGCTGAAACCAACGAGTAGCCTTATTTGCTGGGAGTCGCATTCAGACGAATCTACTTTTGATGGTCTCCAAATGTCCTGCTTAGAGGGAGGTGACTTAAAACAGGCTTGCAAAAGGGTGGTGAAACCTGTATGTTCCAAGTGGTGAGAAAGGATATGGACAAGGACGTGTATTTGAGTCAACGAGCGAAAATGGGCATGCCAGTACAAGATCTGCTGGACTTTTTTGTAATGAGAATATATCTATAGGGAAAGTCGCTGACCTTGAGAATAATGGTCATTCCCATTACAACGATAGAAGCAGTGAATAAGAAAACGCGGTGGAGTACTGAACAGCTGTTCGCTGTCGGCTAGGGAATTCACCGACTGGATGAGAAACCGGGTTCGGCGGACGACACAAGCGAAGAGTGTTGAAAATGGTTCTCAAGGTAAAAAGGAGAAAAAGCCTGCCTCCTGTGGACGATGCTGCGGAAAAGATGTTCCTGTCTAAATTATTCGCGAAGGCGATTGTGTCAACAAGAAATAACTGAAAATACTCAGTTTTTCGCTCGAACTAGGAAATAAAAATACTTAGCTGTGCCTATTTCGATTAGGGCGACAAGATGGCTCCTGACAGGCCTATAAAAAGAAAGACAGTCTAGTAGCCTAACTAATGAAGTAATTCGTTTCGCGATTGGGGTAACTGCATGTAATTCTGCAGCGTCCTTGGCTGGTTAACTCGACGGGAATATGTGTGTGCCATCCTCTGTAATTTTTGGCAAACTCGTCTTGAATGCGAAGGGGGAGGGGTGCTAGGTTAAGGTTTTTACGAATTGAACCTTTCAAGACGGGGAAACATTGAGTTTTGCGTTATGTTAACGGGCGGGAGAGTTTTTGCGCGTAGGCTTTTTTGATGAGTCGGCAATCAAAAACCGAACTCCCTATAATTTGAGAAGGTGCCGTTGAAGAGACGTCGGGTGGCAAATATATGACGCCCATTAATTTAGGTGGGTCAAGCAATTGACTGTCGTCGACTTGGAAGAATAATTTGTTCGGAGGGAGTCACCAGTGTCGAAAGAGAGTGATATTCGACTACAGAAGGTCCCCGCAACACAGAAGTCAGGTAAGACCTATTAAGTGGGACAGTGTTCTGTAGGAGAGGAGGTAACAAAGGGTTTTGCAGGAACAAGCTGTTCACAAAGAAGATGCCAGTCGATGTTTATGGGCCTGTGCGGGCAGGATTAAAGGCAATCCGTA